TTGATGTGTGAAGGGAGAAATGGATCTTCAGAATTTTGACAACAAATGCAGGTCTTGAGATAAATTAATTTAAAGGTGAAATTTTTTTGTTTTATTCAGGAAATTTACAACTCATTAAAGCTAGAGGATAGAGCTGTTACAGCAAACTACTGAAAATGTGACCCACCAAGTTATCAACTGGTACTTATTCTAGAAAGGGACAGATCAGACCCCCCTTATCCCACCCCAATAAGACTAACACCGGTGTAATCTTCAAAGCACATTAGGCTGGTTATGAATCAAGTTTTGTAAGAGAAATACTGTCTAATAGGTTGGATGATAACAAAAGGGTAGGACACTTTAATGCTGAAATTGCCTGCTTGCTGACATGTTTTTAAACAGTATTTTTAATATAGGGTGGCTTCTATTTATTTTTTTTTTTCTTTAAACAAGTGCCAGGTGCATTTTCATTAATGTTTCAGTTCAGGTAAGGTGTGTGCAATTCTGAAGTGATTCTCCCAGGCATCCTAATTTACCATACTTTGGTTTGCATCTTGGAGTAGTCTTAGATTGCACAAATTAGATTCCTTTTGGAGGAAACTAAATCAATCAACATAGTTCAGCTGCAGCTGGGTGTTCAGTCACAGAGCCAGCCTAGAACTAATCTGGCAAAAACTCCCCGAAACCCAAAGTGTGTATGTCAGATCATAAGCACCAACTGATTTGCTTTACAGATTTTTTCCAGTTAGTTTATCCATATGCTAGCTGTTAGTGTGTCTCAGGAGTACTAGTTCAACATGTTGCACCACAATAGCATGACCTCTGAGGCAGTGAGAAAAGGCAATAATAAAAGTGGAAATGGCATTTAATAATATTGCTGCTTAAGCAAGTGAAAAACTGAACAATAAACCCGATCATGTGTCTACACTTTATATTTTTTCCCCCTTTCCACTGAAATGTACAATATCAGGGCTTTTTTAGTTTGTTTTAGATATTTGGGAGAACATGTATCTGTAAAACTTGAAAATCGGGAAAATTCAACTGTACTTAATTAAAAGATACTACACTTTCCTCTCCTGTTGTGTTTTCTGGGATTTTATTCCACTAAACTGAAATAACGTTAACCAAATGAATGTCTCAAATGTGTTAATTTGTAGAAACCTTGAGCTCTTTTGAAAATAAAATTGAGAAACTTAAGGGCCTTCCGTGGTAAACTCAGATTCTTATCCCTTCATTAGGAAATTAGCATCTATGGGGATCTTTGAAAAATCCAAAAGCATAGCCTTTTTCTTGAACTTGGTGGAGGAGATAAGCAATAAATGTTCAACTGATTTGAACGTGGTTAAACTAAGATTACTCATGATTTACCTCGTGTTAGTTTGAAGTTCAACACAGATGAAGTGTTCAGCTTTATACCTAACTGTCATTATCTGGGAGAACTCTCTTTTGTAATTATTGATACTTTAACATTGTTTCCAGGATCATTTTGTATAACAAAAGTTAAGCAAATCTTGATTTTATATTGCGTTCTTCTATACACATCTTAGTTGCTGAACTTTGTAAAGCTGTTACTGCATTAACTATGACAAACATGCATTCTGTATGCCTATATAATGTCTCTGTGCTGGAAGGGGGTAATGTAAGGCAGTGTTTGGTGATGTATAGGTTTTATACTAATGATGCAGAAACTGGTAAATGCCAGTACTATTACACTATTAGGTTTTTTTGACTTCTGTTGTGCCTCTGTTCTTTCCCACTTCTGGGTAATGACCTTGTGTGCTCTGCTCAGAAGGGTAGGGGAAACTGGAGGTGGGTGTAGTGACCAAAGTGGATCATGTTCCTTTCTGTCCTTTGCACAATGTAAAAACCAAGTTGCTGAATTGGGACTGAGCATCTGTTGTATGGGGTGTTCAGTGAGCCCCCCGAAAGAGAGACATTCGTTATCTTCCCACTTCCCAGTTAAGTGGCAGAGGAAGAAATTCTGTACTTTGCAACATACATTACAGACTGAAATCTCCGAAGTCTAGATCCCGAGTCCATCTTGGCTGATGGAAGGAGATAAACTCCACTTCTGCTCTTCTCTTGTCCAAAAGATGATATGGTACCGTAATAGTTGGTGTCGCAGTGTTGCTTCTCTGCATCTGTATTTGCATAATGGCAGGGTCAGTCGGGACTGATAACATGTACTGTAATAATGAATGGGAAATATTTTGTAGTGTGGGATAGTTAGGTTTTAAAATAGCTTTTATGGGACAGATGTGAACATGCATTTTAGCGTACGCTTTCAAGCCCCTGCTGCATACTGGGTTTTTGCTCTTTGCAACCAACACACTGTGCACAGTATAAATGATTACTTTGGGGGGAGGAATAATATCCTTTATAACAGACAAAAAGAGATCTGTAGAGGGAAGTCTAAGTAGCTTGAGGGTTTTTATATTGGTGTAAAACATCCATGCTAGTTTGTAGTAATAAAACATTCATAAACAACTGCATTCAAACATAGATAATGTGGTGCTTTGAAATCATGTGAAAGTCTAAGCCTTGAATGAAGCAGCCTTGAATAATCAGAAAACCATAACAATATTGGAGTAGCTTAACATGTCTTTCTTATTGCCAAGTCAGGATCTTTATTGTGCTAGAAAACTAAATACGGTGTTCAGGTCTGTACAAAACAAACATCAAAGTTTATACCATAATATTCTTCCTTCCAAAGATAGAATAAAGCAGCAACTCCGCCCTAGCTTTGTAAAGAGAAAGAATTTCCTAAAAGCCTGCTCTTGAGTTTATTTATTTTTAAAGAAGTAGAGATTTTAACAGCAGGATAAAAAAGCCTCCACAGTTCCTTTTTTTTTTTCCTAGTTTATTTGTAAATAATATCCACCTTTCCAAACCCTATGGGTATATTTCAATAAGCCTGCAAAACAAAATATTCTTAAGTTGTAGAGTGCTTTAATCTTAAATGAGGGTTCGTACCCCTTTTCTTTACCACCATCATCATCATTTGAGAACAGCTTCTAAATTAGTAAGCCCTGCAGCCAAATCCCTAGTAAAGGAGAGGCATTCTCATACCGGATAATTGCAGGGGATATGACTGGTGAAAAAGCATCTGGGGCCATGTTGTGAATGGAACAGAGCTGTACTGTCTCATGCGTGGAGTTAACGCTGTCTTTTGCTCTGTTCTGGTTAAAGTAGTTACCTCCTAATGGGCCTTTGACCATGTGTTTCCAGTTTCAGAACTACTAAGCTAGATTGTGTAACCACTCAAGTTCTGTAGTACCACAACCCCATCATGGCAGATACCACATAATAGAGTTTCATTTTACCTTTATACATTTTAATACAGTCCTAATTTTATTTCTATCCCCCTTCCCCATATCTGTAGTTAATCTGAGAAATCCTGTGTTCTGTTTTTAATGAAGTTTGTGATTTTGATTTAATTTTATTATTGTAATGTTCAAGGCTATTTGCTACATCTTTGGTGTAAAGTAGTAACTTGTTGGGAAGGAGTTGCATCTGTTTTTAAAATTCTTTGCTGTATATTATGTGATGTGATGTTTTAGCTTTGCTTAGTCCTGACTTTAGAGTGAAATATTCATGCTTATGTACTAGTTTGAAAGAGGATGGAGATATATATAGATATATATATAGATATAGATATAGATATATATATATATATATATATATATATATAAAAGTGTTGTATGCAACAAAAGGGATTTAGACTTGGATACATTTACTGTTCTCTAAAAGCAATCAATGTAAGAGTTTATAGAAAGCTAGTTCTTTTTTTTTTTGTCTGAATTTTCCAGAGTAGAGGTTTTTCTGTCTGTAAATAAAAAAACCTCTCTTTCCTTTGAAACCTAATGTTTATTGCACCAGTTCAGTCAACAGACATTGCTTAGAACTACAGAGTAACAAAAGTTATGTTCTCCGATTTCTTTTTGAGGATCAGACCCAACAGATTTGTTGGGCAAAGACTGCAGCATTTGTAATGCACACCAAACCTAGCTGTACTATGTTGTCTTTTAATTTTACAAAGTTCAAGGTATTTAGCAAAGCAGTTTAAGCGTTTTATGTTTTCAGTGTAAGTGGAACAGACCAGTCTCTTTGCTTCCAGTGAACATTCTGCATTTCTTTTTCTGAAATGTGCTATACAGTATGAAAATTACACTTGTTAAAAGGAGGTCACCATTTGGCTTCGTATCACCCACTTTGCAATACTATATTAATGCAATTCTTACTAAAGAAGATCCACTCTGAAAATAATAAATACAGAACATCAGAGCAGTGTAATTGCATGAAAGTACATTACAATGATATAACTTTGAGATGTTTTTGAACAGAACATACTTGGAAACATATCTCTAAGGTATTTTGGATTATGTTTAAATAATTTTATTGGGGTTGGAAGTGTGTTAGATTCTTTATTATAAGCACATAAGCATTAAGATAGGGCACAGAAGGCTTGCCGCCTGCTTTAAGACCTGTGTGAAATGGGTTTGTGGACAATCTAAACATCCTGAGAGTACAAATCAACAGAGCTCAAAGGACTGATTTTTCTGCATTCGTGGCTAATATTATCCTGCATGTCAGTTTGCCTTTACATTAAGCAATAGGCTAACTAAAAAGGTTTTGTTAATTTGACGTGTTTGATTGTTGAGCTGGGTCACAAACTCTTTGTCCCCCTCTCCAGAGTACAGACAGGAAGGTGTTTCATCCGTTTTCAATACTTAGTCTCTCATTTACTCTTGTTTTCCTCCCTCCTGACTAGAGAGAGCTTCAGTGTAATAAGTTTAGCAAACCGAAGTATTATGGTCTGAGATCTGAAGATACTGGTTTGGTGTTAGCAAGGTCTGTGGTTGTGACCAGGGGTCTGGTGTTTGAAGGGTTTTTTTTTGTTGGTTGATTGTTTTTTATCATTTATCCTTGCCAAAAAACTTCACCTTTTTTTCTCAACTAGTTAAATTCACTGGGATGTGTAGTTGCAACACTAATATTTTATTGGTTTTGTTTTTTTCTAGGGCGCCAATGCCTCAGCTTTGGAGAAAGAGATTGGTCCAGAACAATTTCCAGTCAATGAGCACTATTTTGGTTTGGTTAATGTAAGTTTCAGTCCATAACTTCATTTCTTTAAAATACCACAAGTGGATTTGTTAAATTACAAGACTGTGACTGAGTGAATAATTAAAACACTGAAAGATATAGTCATTGAATATACATACTTATTGAAATGTGTTTGAATATTCAGTGTATTTGTTGAAATATGCTATTGAAATAATTGTTGAAATTGGACTGTGTATTTAATACTTTATTTCGTTTCACTAATTGTAGGGTATTTTTAAAATCACTTTCTTGCTATTAAAATGTATAAGTCTTTAAAAAAAGCTGTTTAAAATAACTAGCTTGTAGTTCATAATATGCCAATCTAAGTGAATAAATACAGTAAAAGAAAAAAAAATCTGTGAAAGACTGTTGATGATATGAAGTGTTCACATCTGCTATTAAGGTTTTTAAAAAATACTGAGCCCAAAGGGGAAAGCAATAGTGGAAAAAACATACTGAATTGTTTGATTCAATCATTCATTTTAAGGAATAATTTAAATTTTCATTTCTGGCATTCCCCATGAAAAGTATATCTTGTTAGAAATTGCATTATTCTGAAATGAAGTGTGAAGTGACTTTCTTTATTGGGGCTTCAGAAAGTACATATGTAAACCAATTGTTTTAACAAGAAAATCTTGCTTTTTATAATGAAACTAATTATTTCTAATGATGTCCTGCTACTATAACATATGTCTCTCCCTCTAGCTTCTTAGCACAGACATGGTTTAGGAGTCTGCAATCTGAGTATACACTGTGCAGTCAGTAAACACTGTTAGTGACAAGCTGATTTACATGCATCTCAAATGCCGTGACTTAAATTAGTGATTTTTTTCCTTTCTCATGAAATTTGAAATATGTTCAAAATGACATGTTGTTTTGCTGAAAAGAGGAAATACAGTCATTTAACTGTTAATACTTATTGTTAGTTCTGTAGCAGAGCTTAGACTTTCCATCTAAGCTGTTTTTACATTTTCTCAAATCTGTTATTCTGTTGACAGATAACCTGTTTTCCTAATTTCTTGTCAAAGTCCAGAGAGGATTTAAGACTTTACATGTATAATACAATTATACTGTTATATTGAAGTTTTACCTGTTTTGTACCCTTAAGAAAAGTTTCAGTAAGGACAGTCTTTCTAGTATATATGGATATCAACAAATCCTGGTTTTCTGTAGTCCAGAGGGAGTAGGAAATTTGAGGGGAGATCTGTCTTTAAGTCGTTGTCCTCAACTATACACATAAGGGGCAGGCAGCTAAGATATCTCACTGTGCTCTTGACTTTCTGTGTAGTATAGGAATGTTGCTTATTTTAGCTTCAAACAATAAAGTTTTATGGATCCAAATTCTTTGAATTGTAACAAACAGTCAAATGGAATTCCATTACATCTAAGGCATGCTGGTGCTGTTTTTCAGGTACAGTGGTCGGCTAAGGGAAATTCAGTTGTATTGTTGCTTGAGTGGTTTTTGGATCTATTCTGCAGATTGTGTTTACTAACACAGTATGTATATGCCATAAATGTGTAATAAGCTTGCAGAATTTAAATATTAGCAGGAAGAGGAAAGGTAGTGACCTTTTCATTAGCAAACTATGGCAAGTGGCCATTCAGAAAGAATGACAGAGCTAATGATAATTGAAAGAAATATTAGTTAAATAATAAATTACAAGTACTATTAGATTGAGAAGTGATAGAAATCACAATTTTTGCGTTCATTGATTTCTCTAATTGTTTTATAGCAATTAGAAGAAGTAAAGCTCTTAGAGGTTCATTAACATTTACTGCTAACTTTTTCTGATTTGTTTATCGATTTTTGTTTGTCCTAACTGCCCAGAGTAATGGAAAAAATTGAGATAATGTGGAAATCAATATCTCTGTTCTGACTGTGTGATAGCTAGCCATTTGAGATGTCTGGAATGCAAGACAGGATTTTAGATGAAGATGGCAATTCTGAAATAGAGACCTGTCAATGGTAAATGTAGCATTTATCCAGAGGTAGCGTAAAAGAAGAGAAGGTAGAAACACTATCTTATCTCCTCTACATCTTTGTGGTGGAATCAAGGGATTATTCAGAGGATGTGCTGAAAGAACAATTTGAGAGGTAAAAGAAGAATTAAGTAAGGGCAATTATGGGAAGCATATGGAAGACCAGATGGTTGATGGGATATTTGATTCTGTCAGTGACTGCTCTAAGTAGAGGATTCAGCTTAGGCTCGAAAGGACAATACCATTCACTGAATCAACAGGAAATATTTAAGATTCATGGCAAGATGAAAATGTTAGTAGTATGATGTCCCGTGCACATGGACAGTCAGGAACATCAAGTCTGCCTATCGTTCTTCTTTCCCGCTACGGTGCAGTAATGCAAACTATTAAAATCTATGTGCTTCACAAATTAAATCAATTATTTTATCCAATGAGTATGAAATAATGAACATTTTTAATCTCATAAGAGCTACTTTGGTAGCTCTTCAGCAGCTTACCAGACTTCTAGAGCAGAAGGTTTGGTTATTTAGTCTCTTACAATGGATCTGTGTGTTTTGGGAGAAATCCTATTTACTGATGTGGCTCACTGCAACAAATAAAACTTGTTGGAGCTGCCAGTGCATCAGAGCTGGAGGAACACTAGTGCTGCACAAAGACAGTATTCTATCTAGATCTAAGTTCTCATAGATCTCTTGTTTGTTTTTGTAGATCTGTGGGGTACAACAACCCAAGTTTTTTCCCACTTGTATGTTGCATCAGAAAGAGTAGACTATAAGGCGATAAGCCTTAGTGAGCGTGTAGTGTTTTTGTTGCAACTTTCCTTATTCTTTCATATTTTTTTTTTTATTTCCACACAGGTTTGGGTGTTGTAATTTTGATTTCAGAATTAACAAAAAAAAAAAAAAAAAGTGTGCGTGGGAAACATACATTGTGCAGTATTTTTGTGAAGGTAAATAATCTGATTTCTCAGAATTTAAGACAGAAGAACAATATGAACTGAAAATAAGAGAAAATGTGGTTTTTTACTTTTCCTAGATATGCATATCTTAAGATGGTCATCGCAGAAACAAGGAGGCAAGCAATAAACAAGTTGAAAACATGGGTTAAAATAACTCTGCTGTATATAGTCTCTATTACATTCCCCTTGAATGAGATAGAGGAGTTTCAGTATCCCATACAGGCTGACAGCTTAAGATACAAAATGACAATTATGGTCTTTCTTACAGTTTTCTACTGCTATCCTGAGGCAGACTTCACAAGCGTTTCATTATACACTGCAGCGCTGGCACATCTTCTTGCAGGTGTTGTACCTCTGAGGCAGTGCTGACTGTAAAGTGAGGGGAGAAGGAAGGTGTCTGCTGGCCAGGTTAGCAGGAGAGCTGAATATTGAAGAAGCACAGTTAGAAAGCAAAGCATAGGTGTTCAGTAGGTGGTGGGAGGATGGGGAGACTGGAGCAAGGTCTTGGGTGTTTTCTAGATGAGGAGTGTGCTTTTTGTATTGGAGTCAAAGCTAGGAAGTAAAGTAATAATGGTGGTAAGACCAACATTTATTGGTGTAACAAATTCCCTATTTGTTTAGTCTAGATATCTCCTTACCTTTTTCCCCTTGTTGTTTAGTATAGGTACCATTATAATTTTTTAATGATTAGAAGCTTTTATTTTAAAAAGAATTTATGTTTTGAAGAGGGAAGACCAATGCTTTGGATAGAAAACAAATATGAACTATTTAAACTTTCTTCAGGAGTTTTCAAGTAATCTTGAATTGCCTACTGTCTTTCTGAATATGGTTGAAGAAAACCTTTTATGAACTTCATCCGCATGCTTTTATTTCCTACCCACAGATGTGTAGGTTAACATAAATTCATGTTAAATTAATCTGAATTTTATTCAGTGTTCTGTTTTCTGTGTTGCTTCATATTTTAGTTGTCTCAGTGCGTGTTTGTCATTCTAATTAATTTATCATCAGACTGTTCCTTTTTAAAATTGGAATGTTATGAAATTTCTAATTTGCTGCTTTTTCATCTTTCGACAGTTGCTGTAGACATTTTAGCACTTCTCCTATTTGATTTAATCTTAAGAACTTTCTTAGCATTTGAATGCTGTTCTCTTTTTATGGCCATTTCTAATTATAAACTCAACAATAGTTAGCTTACAATATTAAATGTTTTGACATAAATTACTCTGTGATTTCATCTGCTTCCTTTAAGGAAAAAAGCCCTGGTTTTCCTCTTAAGTTCATTGACCTACCTGAGGACAGATTTGGACCATGAAGAAGCCAATATAAGCATTTTCCCTAGTTTAATTAAATAAAAATAATGAGTGTTAATTTCTTCACTTTTTAATATGGAGATCTTAAGACTTCTTTAAAATACACTTCTTACTCAAGACACATTCAAAGAATGAGTATTTAGAAAAGTAGTTCTTCATATTTCTTTAATTTAAAATAAAGGAAACCAATTTACTTTCCAGTTTTGTGATTAAATTTCATGGTGCTCTTGTTTATGATTGTCTCAGTCGGGAGAGAGCAATAGGTAGCTACTTCACTATTATTCCTAAGATGTAAAAGCTTTTAGTTCTTTTTCTCTATTGAAAGAACCTACTCTTAAAATATCTCTGAATGCACTCTTTCTCGTACATAACAGTCTCCGCATCACAATATAGTCTTGGAATTTGCTACCTGTATATGCTACTATCTTTATATAAAACATAAATATGAACATTATTTTCACATTTTACAGAATGTGCGTAGTGGGTATGTGCTTCAATTTGCAGGTTGAGTGACTGCAGCTGAAAGGTTGGATTACCTGCTGAGGGCCTTACAAAGATTTTTCTCACACTTTCAGTGTTAGATAATGGGTTTCACTGGAGGAGGGAAGCATAAAATGAGGTTGGCTCTATCCATCGACAGCTCATAATGGCTTCACAGAGGTGATGGGGAAGTTTGCAGTGTTGGGGTGAGCTGGAGACAGTGTCAGTGATCACAAGACTCAAGTGCCTAAGAGCTGGAAGGAGTCTGGGGAAGAGGGACATCTGGAACGTCCTGGTACAGAGGGGATTAAGGATGCTTTTCTTACTGACTCTGCTTGCCCCCTTTCAATTCAGCAGCTTGTCTCCTTCAAATTGTACACTGTTTTCCTTTCAGTGTCAATTTGAAACTACCAGCTGTATCATAGCTTTGAATCCTAAACTAGCCATGTCACATTTTTTTAAGAAAACCCCTGAATGCCAATCCTGTCACCCTAAAATGAGAATTGAAACGTAGGAACAGGTTAAAGCAGTTATTTCTGACTTTGATCAAAACTAATAAGATGTGGAGAATCCAATTTCTGAAGTGTCTGAAAAGCTCTCAATTTGCAGCTGAATTTCTTTACAGTACAAGGGCATGCTGTGCCTGTTCTTTGCTGTTGTGGCTGACTTGTGGTAGATGGATAGATATTTTTACCATGACATATTTTAGGGTCTGTGAAATGATGGTATTTGTTGAACATTTTGACCCAAGTAAATGTAAAATATTACTAATAAATTTACAGGTGAGACAGAATTATATAGTATTGTTCAAATGTACGTAGGTCTTCCTTGCATTTACATATAGTGTACTTGTTAGTCATTTGTGAAACAGAAATATGCTTTACTACCTTAAAGTGAAAAATAAATTATTTGCAGAAAATTTGGCCCTGCTTATGCATTCTCTTATACTTTGGATTTATTTTTTACCTCTCAATGGTAAAACAATGCAACCTAATAATTCTCTCTCTTATTTTACAGTTTGGGAATACATGCTACTGCAATTCAGTTCTTCAGGCACTTTATTTCTGTCGACCATTTAGAGACAAGGTCTTAGCATACAAGAGTCAACCAAGAAAAAAGGAGAATCTCCTTACATGCTTAGCTGATCTCTTCCATAGTATAGCCACCCAGAAGAAAAAAGTTGGAGTAATACCTCCCAAGAAATTTATAACAAGATTACGAAAAGAAAATGGTAACTTTTTTTTTTCTTGTGTAATAATCATAGGTTGTGATTTAATTCTGAAGTTGACACAGTGGGATACCTATGTATTTGTTACGCATGGAAAGTGTTCTTGGTGCTGCAGTGTAAAGAAGAGGTGACCCTAGAATAAGGACCTAACCCTGGAGCTGTTTTCAGAGAGAATCCTTGTCTCTTTTCATGTAGAGCTGAATGTATTTTCAGTGGCTGCTTATGAAATCGCTTACTAATTCTGCCTCACTACGAATAGTATTTTGTAATCAAAATTCACTGTAAAACTTCTGTGTTTAAAAAAACATTACTCTTTGAATGCAGGAGTCTCCCAAGCTGAGTGTGTGGAAAGGACATTAAGATGTTCTGCAAGAATCTAGCTTAAAAAGGATTAATGAATTTTAAAATCACTAAGTAGTTTTGGCTGATTTTTCATAATGTAATTGAGATCCTGAATTTCAGGAGACTTCCAGAGATTTTTACCATTTGTTGTTTCTTATCTGCAGGGATAATTGGTCAAAATGTTTTAGAAAATAATTCAGTGTTAAAATATAGATGAAACCTTGGATGCATTTTTATTAAAATATAGCATATTTTTTTTTTCTAAAAAATAACCGCTAGATTTAAATAAACTGTATGAGGTACCATATTTAACACTGCTGCAATGGACATGTTCATACTATTGTAATCTCTCAAAGAACATATATGCAGACTAAAAGAGTGTTTAAATGTTATGACGATCTCCATAGTAAAAACAAGAAATACAGTACTATAATGACATTTCTAATTTGAAGTGACGCCTCCAGCAAATGCACACCACGAGTTGTAATAATATTTTTAAAAAAAGCTCTCAGGTAATGTACAGTCACTTACCTATGAAGAATAGAAGTGTCATTCAGTTCTTCGGTAAGTAGACTTCAGTAAGTATGCTGTATGTTGATGCACTTACAGAAATTGTTCGTTATGTCAATGAATATTGACTAACTATGACAAGCATGGAAAATGGTTCAAATGGAAAGCAAAAAGTAAACCACAGGAGCCATTAAGTTCTTTTTAGAAAGTGTTCTTTTTAATGCTTAATTATGTCATGACGCTAAATTTCTAAGCAGGAGAAGACAATTGGAAAATCTTCATTAGAGAAGTCAGATATGAAAGTTCAACTCTTGTTGGCTTTCTGGGTATCTCTTAAAAAATGATGATACTTCTGCTTTTCTACAAATAAATGGCTAAATTGTCAGGCAGTGGTTACATGGACATCATATGTGCTTATTGTAAAGTTATATAATTTTGAGCTTTAAAGAAGAATTAGTAAGAGAATCAGGTAGGTGTGCAACACCAATCTAGATTCTGTTCCAGTGCCCAGCTATATCAGGGTGATGACTGGGAACATAATCATAATGTATTCCAGACTACAGTGCTGCTATTCCATCTTTATTTTCAATGTCTGAATACAGCATACATATATTAACAACCTTAAAGCTTAACTGGCTGAGAAGCAGCTGCTGGCTTGAAGTCAGCTGAAGGTATTCTGTTATGTTTGCTTAAATTTCTTGTAATCATAAAAAGAACAATGTATAGCTTTCATTCTGTTGTACTTAATGCTAATTTACTGACTGGGCACATAGCCCTGAGAGGTCTGTGATGTAGCGCTGTGAAGAACCTCTGAAGTGTTTTACCTCAAGAGACTTGTAGCTCTTGTTCTGCTTTGATTTACTTGATAAAGACCTTAAAGTTGGTTAGACTCAGAGTTGAACTTACTCTTACTTTTCAAAACTAGTGTAGTAGTTCACTAAATAAACTACTTAGTTCATACTCTTGGCTAACTTATTGCACTACTTAACCCCTCCAAATGATCTAGACTAGCATAAAATTCTCCCTATTTTGCTAATAACTCAGGATTTTTTTTTTTTTTTTTCAAGTTTACTCCTGGATGCCGTCAAGTGAATGATAGTAAAACTTCCATATAGTCTTTGTAGGCACTTCAAAACTTAAGCTTCACTGAGTATCTTTTTCCTTCATCTTTCCAGTAGTGGGAACTATCCCTCCACTGAAGGCTAGCCTCTTAATATATTCTTGGACTACAAGCAAATTGCAAGTTATAATTAATTGAAGGAATTGCACATTAAAAGACTTGTATGATATTAGCCAGTGATACAGAATGCTTTTTAAATTGGCAGGTAAATTTCCTTCTAAGAATTCCTGGTCAGAGAGAGTAGTAGTAACTATTACTAATGTGATTCAATGCCTTTATGGTTTTCTTAGTTCCATTCCTAATGTGAGTATTTGTAGCAGCAGAGCATTTCTCAGGTTGACGTCCCAGGGGACTACAGTAAATGATGTTTTCAGGGTAATACCAATGTGGACATAAATAAAGGAGTAGACTTGTAAGAGAGTTCAATTTTATGCTTTAATCTGTATCATTGCTATACATCACAAGTGTGTGCCAGTGAAACTATTCCCCTTCCACTGAATTAATCTTAAAACTATTATCTTAGAAATATTGACAAACTGAGGATATGAAGTGGAAGGCATAGTGGATCCATTATTATCTATCCAACAAGTCCACCAGTAATAAAAGTGCCACATATAACAACCTCCAGAAGCAATATTTCAGGTCTTGAAAGACAGATCTATTTATCACTTGAAGTCCTAATTTGAAACCTGTTCGCTCTTGCTCTGGCCAGAACTTTAGGCTAATTTGACATGGCTTCTGCAAATACTGCCTTACTTAAAGAGCTCTGAGAAACAAGGTAGTTGTTTAAAAATATCATTATCTTAAAGTTTTTAGTCTTAATCTTATTTTCATTGCTAATATTGGTGACACTGTACTTACGACAGAGCAGCAGTGGACTTCAAACCCTAGAATATAAATAAAGCAATGTTTTGAGCATTTATTGTTCATGTTCTTCCTGTGATCGAACATACAGATGATGAAACAATTCCTGTCATAAGTTCTCGGTTAATTTCTGGAAAAGATCAATATCTAATGCCATTTGAGATGCCCTGTGTTATCCAAGACATTGACCTAAGCTTGGCAGAGATAGCATAGCGCCTGTAGGAGATCCAGATCATCATGGATTGGCATCTGGAGGCTGGATGGGACAAGCTATAAAATTTCAGGTGGCACTACATGTACACCTATGCTTAGGTAGTTGAATCATGCCCTAGTTTTTTTTGCAGAATGGTTCAGTCTTCTGTTAATTCTGATCAGCTGAGAAATTTCTGTGAATGCAAGCTGACATGCCCTCCCCTCTTCCTACCCCCTATATTTTTGTCTTAGTTTATGAATTACGTGTTTTGGGTTGGTGTTGTGTTGTCCTGAATGATTGAATATGTGAAATAAAGACTGGTTTTGAAATTTGACTTCTTTTAAAAACTTCTTTGTAGTATAGCATAGCACCAACCAATCAATTAAAAAACATTCTGTTTTATCTTGTAGAACTTTTTGATAACTATATGCAGCAGGATGCACATGAGTTCTTAAACTATCTATTAAATACAATTGCGGATATCTTGCAAGAGGAAAGAAAACAAGAGAAACAAAATGGTCGCCTACCTAATGGCAACATCGACAATGAAAATAACAGCCCACCAGACCCAACCTGGGTTCATGAAATCTTTCAGGGAACATTAACTAATGAAACCAGATGTCTTACTTGTGAAACTGTAAGTCTGTATATACTTCGTAAAGTTAATTCTTCCATTTTGCAGAACTTCATGTTTCTTGATGCATTTATCTCAACAGATTAACATACTAGTTTAATTTCTTTATTTAGAGATCTCACATTCATATGAACATTTGCATTTTTTTGTTTTTAGTGAGAAAATTTCAGCAACTGATGCATGAATTGTAGGAAAAGGGTTTTGGTCAACATTGGGAAATGCCCATTTGAATTTCTGTCAGTGTGATCATAATCAAATTAAAAATTTAGATTAGAAAATTCTAAATGGATATATGCCTAAAAGCAATGAAGCTTGCTACTTGGGTATGTAGAGTGCTTCTCAAATTTAATAGCTTAATGTCATGCTTAGCGATACATTCCATAAATAACTATTCTGAATTGGTTTCCACCGATTTCTAGTTTTTAAATTTAAAGCCATTGAAATCAAGATATTATGGTTGACTTTTGGCACTGAGACAATAGACTGGGGTTCTCAAAGAACAGAACTTAATGTGCAGGAGAAGTAACCCTTTCCTAAATATCTGTCCATAGGAATTCTAATACTAGACCCTGAGAAATAAACTCTATACTGAAATTTTCTTTGAGAGTAGTTCTACAATAAGAGAAAGTATATCTTTCAGAAAAACTTATAATTGAATTTTACCTGCTTGAGAAAGGGGAAAAAGGAGCACGATTTGAAAATTACTGTAATTCTGTCATGGTCTATGCCTTAGATATTGTGAAAAGCTAAACGGCTGTATTTTTTTATATGACTCTTCATACCCATTTTCCTTAGCTTAATTAGGTAATGGACATATTTCAGCATGGTGTTGGAAAGGAGGAATTAATCAGATTAAATCAATATATTTCACATGTAATTTTCTCCGTCTTCTAGAAATACTGACCTCTCTTTATTTCAAAGAAAATAGCTTCATAATGTCATATGTAGTGTAACTGCAGACTTCAGTACATTATGGTATTTTGAGTAATTTAGGTGCTGATTTCTAGCTACCATATTTTCTTTCCTGATACATTTCCTTTCCCTAATAACTATTTCATGGCAACTGTCAATTGCTTCTCTTAGTTCCTGAACTGATTTTTTTTTTTATTTCTTGAAAAATGACTTAGTCCCTTAACGTGACTGACATCATTACCTTTCTTCTCTATGGCATAGTGAATTACTGTTGTCAGTATTTTGATCTAGGTACAGTCCCTAATACAATTTTAAAATGCTGATATGCTCTTTGCCAGCATATTTTATTAGTTATCAGGACTATCACAATTTTGAGAGTTTTACTAATACTGCTCCATTCTATTTTTCTGTTAGCTATTGCAGAACAGGATATGCCATATGTTTGTCACTGTGCCTCCTTGTACAGTTGAATTTTAAGTTCAGTGTTCTAATACACATTGGGGTTTAGTATAGTAGGGCTTTTGTTTTCCAAGCCCTAATAATCTGGAAACTTTTTATCAGTTTATGTCTATTCAGTATATCAGCTTGTGTCTAATTAAAACACAGTGACCTGAAAATGGGCACTTAGAAACACATTTACACACATTAAAAAAGTAGCATTACTGGGAATAGTGTCTTATTTTCAAATATAATAAGCATATATGATTCTTTTAATGATTATTGGACGCTGTTGGCATTTAGTCTTTCTGTGCTTAGAAATATAACTTAAAATGTCAGGAGTACTCGAATATAGCTCATGTGGAAGATTGCACAGTAATAGTGGATGAATTAGTGCTTCTTAATGATAAGGCAATAACCTTAATATATTTTTTTTTATTTAAATTTGAAATTTAATGCATACTTGAATATAAAGCATAATGTATCTTTGCTTTAAGTGAGAATGATTATCTTCTAACTGGCCAAACCTACTCAGTGTTTCTAAAAGCAGCATGGCAAGATTATATTCTAATTTCGATTGTCCTGATTATAGAAAAGAACTTATTTCCAGGAATCACTGTCTCATTAGTCCCTCTTTAAGATAAGAAATAACTGACTAAGGATTTATCCTCAGTTTAAGTATGGACAGTGGAACGTAAGGAATATAGATCAGATTGTTTAACAAAGATTTGTGTTTTGGGTCAAGCCATACTCTAAAATGAATAAGTTAAAGACTGATTGTAAGTTTTCTTTACATGCTTTTAATGTGGTTTCCTGTTACGATGCTTTCCCCCTTCCTTGATAGAGACAGTATGATGAAGTGAATGTTACAAATTTTTGTGGCTAATTGATAAAATTTATCTAGAAGTTCACTGGTTTTACAGATTTCTCTCACAATTTATGGAAAAAATAACAATAAACCAGAAAATAATGTAATTGACTTCATTAAAATTAAATTTGAAATGGCTAAATATGGGCAGTACTTCTACAGAGGCGAGTAGGAAATTATCTTGGATCAAAAGCACCAAGCATATTGATAATGTTTTTCTCTAGCTGATGGTCTTGCTCTTGTGTTCAAATGACTCTACAAGGCATAAAATTCTTTGGCTCATTTCTGCTTTGGACTGAGAGAAGGCAATAAGGAAAATCTCAGTGGTCGCTCTTGCAGGAGTACTATGGAAGCCTTAACTACTCCCTACTTGTTTTTCCTTTCTTCTTTTTTTTAAAAAAAAAAACAAAAACAAAAAGCCAAGATAAATCATGCCCTTTGTTTCACCTGCATTTAAAAATAGTTTCTGTCTTAGCACACATGGGAGCTTATGGGTGCAAAAGCTTTTTTGTCAATGAGCTGATTCACATTGCTAGTGAAATTCCAAACTGAAAGAAATACAGATTCCATGAGTGTTAGCCCCCTGAGTTTTCTGTTCTGTGTGACATTGGTCATCAGAGTGCAGCTGAACTGTTTGAGTGCAGATTATGTCCTTGATGTGAGAACAATATACCATCCCCTTTAGCCAGAATACTGGAACACTCGAATTCTTCAGTATTATTCACATGCTTCTGCTAGGATCACTCCAGTAGCTTTTTGCACACATCAGGGCTTGATTCTGTAAGTGATGAGGTTTTCTGACTGTGTCCATCCTTTTTTCATTCTGCAGGTGATTGAAATATATAGCATTGGCAGCTTTAGTCTAAGGAACTTTGACATTTATTTGAAACAGGACTTCTATAGAAGAGGGAGGGGTGGACAGGTTAGAGTGGAGGGTGATTTTTTTTTTTTTTTAATAAATTATCCTTTTTTTTTTTTTAATTAAACCTGTATGAGTTAATGTTGGGAAAAAAAAATAGTAGTACTGTTCAAATAATCTTAAAAATTAAGAATAGCAATTTCTAAATGAGCAACATAGACAGAAGAAATCCACTTGCCTATTCTTTCAATAAAGCCTTTAATGGTTCCTCATGATCCTAAGTGCACAACCACTGGCTAACCTGAGAGAGGTTCTTTAAGGCAGTATTATCAATATTATCACTGAGAATGGAAGATTTGCTTTTGTGAACTTCTGGTTTCTGTACCAATCTTTTTTTAACCAAGTACAACACATCCCTTTCCTCTTCTCCATTTCCTCCCCACACTTACAGCTTCTGCGTGGGATAAAGCTGCCTGATAGAAATCTTTATTGTTTCATGAATTTTTCTTTGATTAACCAAGAGAGGAAGAATTATCTAATTGCATGCCTGAAAAACACTGATCACATGACTCCTTAATTTCAGCTGTCCTAGCTGAAGACTGCAGTAGAGTATTTTCTAAAACTGATTTTTTTTTTTTTGAGCCATTCTTGATTCAGAGGCTAAGATGGTTTCCACCAGAGTTCTTAGACTCAAGTTTGATAATTCCAAAAATGGTTTGCAATGGGATATTCTGAAGAATTGTCTGCACAGCTAAACCACAGTACAACCCTGAAGACAGGAAATGTGCAGCACACTGGAGATGCAGGTGGCACTTTTTTTCCACCCTAAAACATCTTAGAAGTTTTCCATATATGTTCTGTGATCCCTTTAAAAGTATAAACATTACACTTCAGCATCTAAATGATGTAGTAGATGTGATGTACCAAAAAATATGTCACTATGTTAGTATACATGTACTCTTGGAAGAATTAGCTACAGAAGAATGGGAGGGATCCTTGCCCAGTCTTCTCACAGATATTAACAGAAGCTTCTAACTTAATTTTGTAAGTTTTTCAATTTGCCCTATGGTATTAATTCTCAGAAATAGTTGTCCTGTCCACCGCTATTTTTCATTTTATTCTTCATGTATGCTGCCCTTAGGAAATCTGTGCTTCTCAACTCTTGATAGTTAAAGCACAACTTTCCAAATTTACTTTTATTCTGAGTTGAAAAGGGACCATAAATTCATATGTTTTAAAGATCAAGTGACATTAGTTTAACTTTTCCTGCTTTCAATCAAGAAACTGCAGCCAGGCATCTTTTCTAAAAGCATTTACTTTTGTAACTAGGAGTCATAAAAGTCAAAGGACATTCTCATCGGTGTCATTGAGTATCTCTAGATACACAGAGGAAACACTAGTAGGCAAAAGTTTAGGAAATACCAATCTACAACCTTAACCTTATAATGACATAGTTGATTTTTCAGGGCAGCTGTGGCTTTCATTCATCACAATTATTCAGGATTTGTGATGGAATTTATTTTCTGCTTCTAGCAATTTCTTTTTTACTTTAACTGTTATTCTTGCATTTTTATAAGAAAAGACTATGCTCCATCCTGTGTCTATCAGACCAAGACCTAAGCTCTCATTTACCAACAAATTTTCTATCTGCTGCTCATTTAAGAGTATGAATCTAGCCAGGAAGAGGCTTCAAAATATCTGTTCTGTTTATTAGGTGCAGTATGATATGCAAATATATAACTTTCAATTGGAGGGAATCACAGGGGAAGAACAGAGGTGAGAACACTAAATAGAATAATCCCAGCGATTGTATTCCTTTGAAAAGAGTCAGGTGTAGAAGGAACTTGGCATTAATATTATTGAGGTGAAATCACAGCATAATGACAGCTGGCATTATATACCCCCATAGGCACATATATACTTCCCTTTTCCTGAACAAAATCAGAAATAGAGATCTAGCACATCTCTGAAATAAAGGCCACTTGTAACAAATCTAAAAGGCTGTTACAAGGTAAAAGATGCATTCTGTCAATAGAAAATGGTACTGAAAACCACAGGTAAATTAGTGTAACTTGTTTTTACTATATTGGTTCTTTTTTCATGTAGATAAGCAGCAAAGATGAAGACTTCTTAGACCTTTCAGTTGATGTGGAGCAGAATACTTCAATCACTCATTGCTTAAGGTAGACACAAAAATCTGAATTTTTGTACTTTATCTTTTATCTGAGGCATAGAAAGCAGGAAGTAAAACTAAAAGCTCACAAGCTTAGCAAATTCTAGCTAGGTAGACTCAAGAGTATAAAATTATGTTTATATTGTACATATTTAAATGTATATTTCAGGTAAGAAACTGGTATCTATAGCTTTTTTTTTTTTTCCTCATTCAGGGGTTTCAGCAATACAGAAACTCTGTGCAGTGAATACAAATATTACTGTGAAGAATGTCGCAGTAAGCAAGAAGCACATAAAAGGTACATCAGACTCAGGGAGGGGAAAAAAGTAACCCATGCATTTGATGAAAATACTCTTTATTACCTTGTGTGTGTGTGTATATGAGGTAGGGGGAGGACACTCTTTTCCCTTAATTTTTCTCTTCTTCCTCTTAAGAGTAATTTGGTTACATTCCTCTTGAATTCAGTGAGCCTACTTCCATGTGTAATGGACATCCATGTAAAGCATTTTGTGACTCCTTTGATCATTATTTTATGAATGAGAAAAATAATGGTCTTAAGACCAAAAATAAGTTAAAAAGACAAGTTAAAACAAAGTTTCAGTGACTAATCAAAGATTATAGGTAATGGTAAAAAGTTACTGATTTTATGTGATTTTTTTAAACTTGGTTTTGTCTTGACAATAAAAACCTTCCCCAGTTGCTGTAAGAATCAGTATAGCATTTTTTTTCTGATTCAGTCAGAATGAGGGTTGTAACTTTTTTTGTTAACTGAACTTCTCGTTTCTTAAAAGTGCGTAGTTAGTTGTGCTAAACTTCTGCTTGAGAGTGTTCCTGAAAAGCTCCAGAAGCTCTGTGGAAGCCTGAAATTGATTATGTTTAAAACCAATTCTTGTCTGCCTAATAATTCTTCTAGTCTTGTTTCCACCCTTGAAAAACCACTGATTTTGTGTACTTTGTGGTATTTATTACCTGAGAAAGTTGAGGGAGTGGAAATGCTGACATGCTTTACTGGTTATACCACTGATTCTGGTTATTTGGTTTACCACAGATTCAGCTCATGGCTTTTGGCATATCTCATCTGCAAAGTCTGCCTTCACACATTGCCTAAGCTTACTAATTGGTGTGTATTAGAGGGTTGTGAAGCCAGGTCTGTCCTGTTGTTTTCTGTTGCCTTAGCTCTTTTTCTGTGTGGGAGGTAATGTGATCCCTGGCCAACATAAGCTGTGTTGACATAAACCTGAACTGTAGGCACTGCCATATTGGCAAAACACAGCTTTTATTGTTTATATTTTGATTTTCATATGGGGCTTAAATTCGGTTTCACTACAGTCATAATTTTCTTCCATCTCAATAACATTGTGCTTATCTGTGATTGTGTCTACTCAACTAGAAAAGGTGGCATACTGAATTTCTTCACCAGTGAAAGAGCTCCTATTATCAAACACAGTTGCATTATAAGAAGAGGACTCCATTTTGAAAAAAAGAAATAGAGCAGAAATTTTATCCATATCTCAGTAATATAATAAAATGTAACTCTCCCTAAAAATAGTTGCTTCTGTCATCTTTCTGCCCTTCTCCTGCTTTTCTCATTTCCTAGTTCCCTTGTGGGCCATGGAAAAAAATTGAGTCTAGCAGGGTTTCCTACAGGTTACTGTCAGTCCAAGTTTAATGAGAAAAAGGGAAAGAAGGTGAGTTTTCAAGGATTTTTGACCCCAGCCCCCTATCTTTTGAAAAAAGGATTGTCTTGTAAACCATTTCATGACATTCTGAAAATGTGGTCTTAATAGACATGTCTGAAACCTGGGCTGTATTGTTGAGACTTTTGAGCTACTTTTCAGGGCTGGGGTTTGAAAAATTCAGCACAGTGCTGATCGAAGGCAATTAGCTGTGCCAAGAAGTAGAGCACTCTGGTTGCTCTGGTAGTGCGGATAAATTTATTGCCCAGAGAGTGGAAGTCTGTGTTTGCTGCCAGGCCAGCTGTGGTTGGCTGATGAGGATTTAGATGCACTGGTGCAAGATCTCAGTACCTCCAACTAGCGAAAGAGGCCAGTGAGCCCTCAGTAAAACTAGATTATCATTTTCTGGCTTTGACTGCCATAAAATCTGCTGCAATGTTTGTACAAAATTATTGTGAGCACAGCATTATCTTGTTTGGGTAGCATGAGGTAAAGGCAAATAACAGTGGGCTATTTGTATCCCTTGGCAGTGTTAAATTAATGGCTTGATATGAAAACTTGGGAGTAATGCATATGTAACAGAGTGGTATAACAAAGCTTATTTTAAAAAGCTTGTTTGACTTGGATGGTTTACTGAGAAATTCAACTGGAACGGGATCTCTGGAACAACTTTGCAGTATCTCCACTGTCTACCAAGTGGGATCTAGGTTTTGCTTTTGGGAACTCAGGAAAGCTATGGGTAGGTTTATTTAAAAATTGAATTCTGTGCTATGCAGTCATTATGTCTGAATTATTATGTGGGTTCATCATGGCTGTTATATATTATAGCTTATTATTTTAAATACATTTACAATTCTCCCAACTGTTAAAGTCTACCTGTAGTTTAGCAACACATGACATATTTGTTAAACATCTGATTGTTTGAGCTTCTTTTAATGTTTGCAAAATTTTTTAAATACTACAGTAAGACATGTTCCTTGTTTGTTGATATCAGCTGAATATTGAATGGATATTGGAACTAGTGTTGATTTGAGTGTGTTTGATTTTTTTTTTTTTTTTTTTTTTTCAGGATGAAAGTAAAAAAGCTGCCTATGATTCTAGCTCTCCATTTGAAGAGATTTAAATACATGGATCAGCTGCATCGATACACAAAACTCTCTTATAGAGTAGTTTTTCCTTTAGAGCTTCGCTTATTTAACACCTCAGGAGATGCCACCAATCCTGACAGAATGTATGACCTTGTTGCTGTGGTAGTTCATTGTGGAAGGTAATAACTATTTTACACAAGGGAATTTTGTATAGGTGTAACTGTGTTTAAAAAAAAAAAAAACAACAAAACAAAACACAAAAACAAAACAAAACAAAGTACCCAGTATCGCATAATTCTAATAGCATTTAAAAATCTCTTAAAAGTTTATGGGGAAATAAACTATTGTGGGGAGATGCTACCAATCCTGACAGAACATACAGCTTTGTTGCTGTGATAGTTCACTGTGAAAAGTGGTAACAGTATATTTCACATCAGAGATCTTTGCATGAACTTAACTATGTTTAAAAAAACCCCACAAAACACATGGTGTCATGTAACACTAATAACGTTTACAGATCATTTTTAAAAAGAGTTTATTGGGAAGGAGAGCATTATTTAACAGATTCCTTTATACAGCATTTCCTTTAGGGTGTGTTTTTTGTTTTTTGTTTTTTGTTTTTTTTTTTAAGGCTTAAGCAACATTTTCTGAAATATATCCATACATTGAGTTTTGTTGATTACTTTGTTTCCTTGCTTTCAAAATATGAATGTTAGGTTTGTATTTGATTTTTCTATATTCAACAAATGTTCTTGTGGCTTCAAGTCTTAAAATCAGGGATGCTCTACAAAGTACTTTTTGAGATAAAATCCTTGCAGTTGAAAACAATGATTTAATATCTAGAATCACAGAATATTTTACATTGTGAGGTCAACTACTTAAAGCTCAAAGCAGGTCTAAATTTGACATTAGATTAGGATGCACTGGGTTCATTTTTGTGACTAGAAATGCTGATTTCACTACCTCTTTGGGCAATTTGTTCCAGTCCATCAGTGTTCTCACAGTGATTCCGCATCCCCCCATGCCCTGCCACTGGACTTCCTCCAGTTTATCAGTCTGTCCCGTAACCTGACAAGGTCATGTCTGGAATCCCATGTCCAGTTCTGGGTCCAAGAATGCAGAGCGGTGGGGATTATCACTTCCCTGCTGGCTCTACTCTGAGAGTACAGCCCCGCATACTCTCAGTCCTGTCACCAAAATGATGCGCTGCTGGCTAACAGCTCATCTTACTGACCTTCTGGGCCCACTTAGCCAGTTGTTTTTTTGGGTTTTGATGCTGTTGGAACAGCATCGGTCAGTTGATGCTGTTGGATGAGCTAGTCTGGCACAAGACTTTGCGTTCCTACTTGTTAAACTTCATGAGGTTCTTATCAGCCTGTTCTTCCAACCTTTTCATGTCCCTCAAAATGGCAGACCTGCCCTCCAGCTGCTAGTTACTGCCCTTGTTCCACCCCCATTCCTCCCTAGATAGACCTAGTATTAGAGTAGAAATAAGATGACTAAATCTCAAGTTGTCCAGGACAATTTTGGAAAATAAGCCTTTGTGCCACAGTCTTCTGGAACACTTCTTATTCTGGGTTTTAGGGAGAACAGGACCTGTCAATTTTTGATCATTTTGTCCAATTCTGACTATTTGTTTCTCCCTCAATCAAGCTGCAGTCTTGAAAACTTACTCATTCTCAGAGTTGTGGAAGGAGATGATCCCTGTTTTCATTGAGTTGTGTGATTTTGTGATTTGATACACAGATGTGTCTCTCACAGATGGCAACCTTCCCTCCCAAATCTAGACATAAAAATTGGATGGGTGCTGTTAGCTTGTTAAGGCAGTTCCAGAACTGCTTTAACTGGTTGTCCACTTTCAGTTATAAGGTTCAGTGATTTCAGAAAGTGTATTATTTCTTTGCTTGGAATCTGGTTAGAAATAGGACCCTTTTAAAGGGGTTTTGTTTTGGGTTTTTCTGTCATACTTGTGGAGAAACTTTTTGTCTGCCATAAACCGAAGAGCTGTACATTATAACAGTTTTAATGTAATTGGGAGCCCTTCTCATTGCTGTGAGGATTCTTGAGACTTCTAAACTATCAGTTTAATTTGGGTTTTGTTTACAGTGGACCAGATAAAGAAATCCCTGACTGAGACTGTAAATGAAGAGCAGCTCTACAGCTTTTTCTTTCTGAAGATCGGAAATAGTTTGGGATCTGTTCTGTCCCTGTGAAACATCAGAATGTTTTCTTGATTTTAATTCTCTGACTCTTTTTAAATTTATTTTATATTTTCAATGCCTGTGCTGCTTTTGTAATTTGAAATTATAATCCTTTTTTCATCATAATATTAAATGTAGAGATAAGTAAGACCTCATTTTGAAGATGATATAAGTGGAGGAGAAAAAAGGAAACATCCAAACAGAAATTGTACTGGTAGTCATTTTAATCACTGTTAAGTATTGCTTTTCTATGAAGAAAAAACCCAATTTAATTAAATATATTTCTACATACATGTGCATTATTGTCTGTGCTCTTTTCTAATTTTATTTTACAGTGGCCCTAACAGAGGACATTATATTGCAATAGTGAAGAGTCATGATTTTTGGTTGCTTTTTGACGATGATATTGTTGAGGTAAGCTTTGTGTAACCTTGGACTTTTTTTCTCATACTAACCAGAGTGCATGCCACCCCCCCTTGTGTATATGATTACTTAAAGTAAAAGGACTGGTATGCTAATGAAAAGAGGGTCCAACCCCAATCTAAATGAGCAGTAACTCTTGAGTGCAGAGCTGCACGTTACAGTTTGACTGTACGATACTTTGATTTGAATTTTGTTTTTTATACTTCTTAAATTAACTTGCTCTGTGTATGGCCACTATCTTTCACCTTTTTTTAGTAAGGTATTCCTGTGGCCAGAAGACATGGCTAATAAAGATACAGATAAATTGGTTTTACTTCATTTCTTTCCTGAGGGCGATTTTTTTTGAGCAAGCCATTTGTTCATATTTCTAGGAACTTGTGATTTAATGGAATGGATTGGTCTGGTAGTTTTATTGAGTATCCTGGATTGTTTCAGACAAAGGTGTAACAAATATCAAAATAGGAAGAAACTTCAGATTTTTGAGATTTTGCCCTAAAATTTAAAAGTTAATCTTTGGAACAGAAGCCTTTTGCCTCTGGTGGTATTCTTGCTAATATTAGCCATTCTTCTAGGAATTCTTATTATTTAAAAAAGAGGTTTCCAACTAATTTTGTGGAAAAGCAGAATTCCCTTCACCAGTTTTGATTTTGTTATCTTTCTGGTTCATCAGTTATCTTTTATTCTTTATTGAGAGAAAGAGCAGAAACTGCTGGTGTCCCTATATTATATCATCTCAGGTTTTTTCTTGTTCTGTCATCTTCCTTTTTTCCCCCTTGCCTATGCTTGTGCATGAACAGAAGTATGATTGTGCTGTCCTTTTCCTGACTTTATTTGAATTAATTAAATCTATAAAATGAATACTTTACATTTTCCTTACAATACACAAGAACTGCACAATTGAAAAGAAATAAATTGAGGCGGGTATTGGACTTAGGTTGTTAATTGGCAGGACGAGTCAAGGATATTGAAGAATTCTTATCTCGGAGCCACATTATGGATGGGTTTTCACACAAGAAATGACAAGCATGGAAACATACAGATCTGTTAGGAAAGTAAAAGGATTGCCTCTGTGTCTTATCAAGATACACAAGTAAATTGAAATGTCTTGATAGGGTCAAAAGTTCACTTTCCTCCAGGGAAAACAGAGAGCACTGTAGTAGATCTCCTATCATTTCACAAACATCAGGGACAATCCCTCCAGTTCCAAAAGCAGTAACACCTGGCAGTAATGTTTTTGTTTTTGTTTTTTTTTTTTTTTTTCCTTCTAAAGAGGCAGGAAAGAATCTTTTTGTTCTTAAATCTAAAACATCATCTCATTGACTTTTAGGCCTATGGTTCATCAAGTTGGAATGTCTCACTCCTTCCTAAGAGAGGTTTTATTCCAAATAATGGGACTGAGATGAAATAAAATCTGCCCAAGTGAAGGAAAATTTATGTCTCAATCTTTTTTGTTGTTTGTAGCCTAATTACCTTTGATTGAAAATGTGGCAAGAGACCTTGCTTTCAGTTTGTTTCTTTTGTAGCTGAAAATGATGACAATGAAAACCAGACAATACTCTTTTTACCTTCTCAACGGAAGTTTTACATCTTTCCCCCCAAATCTTGGTTATAGGAGGCTTTCTAAACTAAGAGAATCACAAGCAAACATTCTGTGTGAAAACCAGAAAAAGTTAGCCTTCATTCTTTACCTTCTCCTCTGCACTTGATTGTCTTACACTGCATTGATTTAGAAATGATAGTTTGTACTTACATTCTTCATATTGATATAAAGTCCCAGTGGAATATTGTTGTCTTTAAAACTTTTCTGTGTGAAATTTGTGCAAGCAATCTGTACCAGATTGCACTTGCAGGTTCACTTAATACATACAAATTCATATAAAAAATAAATACAGCTGCTACCCTGTGTCTGGTTAATGGCAGAGGTAAAACCAAAATATAACAAATTTAAGAATTACTTGGATTTTATTACTTTATGTAATTAGGTGAAAGTTATTTTTGTTTGAGAGTTTTATATGCAAGATATTCTTACTTTAAATTTCTGGGTTTTTACATACAGAAAATTGATGCACAAGCTATTGAAGAATTCTACGGGTTGACATCAGACATCTCAAAGAACTCTGAGTCTGGTTACATCCTCTTCTATCAGTCTCGGGATTGAGGGTGAACTGTAGTGAAGAGAGATTTTTTTATGCCTCACATCTTCTCTATCTTGGAATGGAGCAAGCACTGAAAAAAGGGAAAGCAGGGAGCTCCAGGGGCAGTAGCACAGTTTGCACACAACGAAGCAAAAGTTTGGGATTCTTAAAACCTATGTATCATTGTCATTTGATTTGCTCAGGTATCATGCTGACTACACATCTCCACTGCATCCCATAAGCAAAAAGAGAGATACCAGCCACTCTTGCAGGAGCTTTCCTTTAGGTAATACTGTGTCTGTGATCCTAATTCAAAGCCCATTAAGGTCACTGGAGAACCTTCCATGGTCTTCAGTGAAATTTGAATCAGGTTCTAACTGCACTGCCAGACTGGTGCAATAGGAGCATTAGAAATCTGTATTTTATACAGACTTTGTGTATAAAAGGTAAAAGACTCTTTGTGAACTAAGTTTCCTGAGCTCAAGTTTAAAAGAATGAGGTTGGGAGGGTTAGCATGTAAGCAAGAAGATATATCTGGGCCCAACACAATTGCCTTCTTGATGGTAGTAGTTTAACTGAAGATATAAACTGGTGTCAGGGAGGCAAGTTTGTTTTGCTTCTCTGAAGAAGCTTACGTTATTTATAATGTATGATCGGGAACAATCAGTCAAGATTATGGCTTTTAATCTCCGTATGGGGAAAGATTTGGTTTGTAATAGTTTATTTTTATTTATAAATTATTGTAACTTAGGATCTTGTGTATTGTCCTTTATTCTAACAAGTATTGGAAATTTTATATATTAATTTGAATTAAAACTAGTTATGTTTAAATGTTAAAGAAGAACCAATATAAATTCTAAAAACAATGCCTACAATATCTGTAAAAAATAATAACGAGAGATTTCCTTCTGGAGGAACTGGTATCTAAGTGAGGTGCTTTATTTAATTAAATTAGAATATCCTCTTTCCATTAATGAGTGAAAAAAAAAAGTGATCAAACTATTACATAGAAGACTTTAAGAATGCATATCATAAGGAAGTGATGGTGCAGTGGTGGTATACTGGTCTTTATAGCTCTTTAATAATTTGTTAATGGTTCATACTCTAAGCAAATTGTAATGATTTGGATCAGAGTAAACCATTTAAAGAATATTATTCCCTCTCCTAAAAATGGATCCACTTCTGTTTCCAGTGGCATGGGTGACTATTTCAAAAACCACTTAATGTCTCAAGTATAAATTATGTCTCATTAATAAGAAGAAATAGGCTTGGAATTTCATGAGACTGAAGATACCACATTCCTTTAAAAGTAATAATACTTAAATCCTAGAGTGAAAATTTCTGAAACTAGGCAGTTTACCTTGCTTTAGGTTTATGGAACAGCATTAAGAACTAAATCTTGATAAAACACCTGATCTGTAAGTAATGTGAACAATTGTGATTTGACATTCTTCCACTTCCCAGTACGTTGTCTGACAGTAGCTGAATGTAATTTCTGCAAAGTCATGGGATGTACATTCCGGATTACGGCAATCAGGTCTTGGATGTCCTTGTCACTCCCTCTTCAGCTAGTGATTTTTACATTATTGTAATTTTCTAAGGTTATTTTATTGATACTGTTACAACTTTTAAAAAGAATGTCTCCTGTCTGCTGCTATAACTGACTATTTACTTACCTGTATCTTTTAGCTCAGGAAATGACTTCACCTATTCACTCAGTTCAACAAATCTTTAACAGGGTCACTAAATAAATTGGGCTATTTAGCAACTGTCATATTGTAACAAACTGCTTTTGTAAAATGCAAAGTTTCTAAAGCCTTGGTTTGGCTAGAATTCTTTTATAGAAAATTATGTATCATGATTAAACTACCAGCATTGTAAAGTAAAGCTTAAATATTGTGGGAGATGCAGAAAATATGATTGGATTTTTCTTAAAGGATTCAAATAATTTTAAAAACTTTTTCAGCTTTCAGTGGGAAGAGGGTTAAGGGGTGAATCAATTGGATAATGGTGCACATTAGAAGGATGAAGTCCTTTACATACTAAAGGTACAGTATTGTAAAAGAACTGTCACATTACTTTTTGCTAATTGAAAATGTTTGGTCCTTTTTTTTATTTTTTTTTTTTTTTTTTGATGTAGTTAATATCTGAGGCTAGTTGCTAAATTTTTTATACCCTAACAAAATTTAAAACATTTTTGTTGTTTCACTGGTTTTACTTCTGCTATGTATTTTTATAAGATACTGACTTTTATTTTGTATAGCATTTTTGAGATAGGATTCCAAATTATAGATTTCATTTTTCTTTTAGTGCAGCTGAAATAATTACAAGTTCTTAATTAAACTGATATCAAAAACTGCAACTTTAAAAAAAAAATTAAGAAAGGCAGGGAAGTACAAAATATAACTGATTGGTATGTAAAACATTATAGGATTTTTTTCTTGGCTGTAATACAGTGGGGAGTGTGGGGAAGTTGTCAGTTGTTGTAAATGGTGGAAATTATTTGCTGTGTAACTATGTAAATGTTAATTGGGACTACAGTCCCTTATTTTGTATATTGGAGCAAAAAACTTCTATTAAATAAAGTATGTTCTCTAAAGGTAAGTACTGTATCCTTTGTGGAGCCCAAATGGTCAGTCAGCTGCCTTTTGTGCTTTTCAGTGTTTTCAAACTTAAAAAGTATCTGGAATTTCTTGTATTAGCTAACTGCCTTGAGCCATGGAGGGGGAAGTGTGTTTAAATACACTGCATTTTATATATTTCTAGAAGTGTTGTTATAAAAATAGTTTGGTGGCAGCCATGTTTTTGGTGGTGTACTTCTCTAGAATTAGATTTTAAGTTGTTGGTTTCTGAGGTAGAGGAGGGAGTGTTTTGAAATATTGTTCTTACTTGACTTCCATTTCCTCAAAAAAAGCTGCACCTCGCTATGAAATATGCATGAGTTACCTAAGTGATTTCTTGGATTGCCACTTTGTGGGAGGGAAAACAGAAGGAAAGAAAAATGGGAATATTTACAGCACTGACATATGAGACAGACTGACCAAAGAACGGGAGTCCAGCATCAGGAGAAAAAGATGCAGCTGGTGACAGTATCCATGTATGATTCGGTATCCAGGAATTCTTCACTTGGAGTATACACTGCTGTTTGTAATGAGTATATGTACTTACAGTTCTACAAACAGTTCATACCCTGCCATGTTTGTAGTTGTGATGACCACATCCATAGCCTTTCATTGCATGGAAGTAGTGACTTTTAGGTGTTCAGGTACTTGTATGAATGGTTAAATCGCATTGTGTTCTCAGAAGTTAGTCATAAATCAGACTGCCTATCTTTAGGTGACATTCAGATGTTAGTACGTAGGGATTCGATGCCGCCTCAGATCTTCTGCCATACCCTTCGACGTCTGCATGGGACTGGCAGGTATAACACCAGATCCACGGAAGATCCACACCCTTCTGGAGCAGCAGCTTGAAGCCAGACAGGACATCCTGGCTTTTTCCCCATGTCTCTGTCTCAGTGTTTCCACAGGCACTATTGCATATGCACTGTTTGGATCACATACAGATGAAAGTCTGTATTGCTTGGTTACTATTTTGTGGTGATGTTTGTAAAGTTTAAAACCTGAAGTATCTGAGTCCTCTAGTTACTTACATAATTCCCTTATTAAAAGAACTTTATCTTGTGCTGTTTGGTCCGGTCTCTCAACTGTAGGTTTAAGATGATCCTGTAGTGTCTTATTATTAAGCTCATCCTTGTAACTAAAAGAAATTTCGATATGCAAAATCTTCGGTCTTTATTTACCAAAACTTACTTGGCCTTGTTTCTTCATACCTTTTTCTACAGAAATTTCCAATTGCCCTTACTGGAAGGATCTTAGCTGTGTACAGTTAATGTCATAAACAGATCCTCATAACTTTCTTCATAACTGTTCCTTCAAAATTAGTAGTTGTACCTTAGCATTCTATACTTCCACAATGTGGATTATAAAAGAACAGGGTTGAATTCTCCTACACACAAAGCTTTGTCTGCTAATACACGTGAAGCAGTGACATCTATTTTTTTCTGTTTAACTGCTGACTGTTCAATGACAGAATTCAGCTTGGCCTGAAAGACTGAGAGTGGAGACTTCTAGAAAGTGTTGAAAATGCATCAACAACTGAGGATGCCCAAAAAGTTGAGGAGTGGGTGGGTTGGTTGTTTTTCATTTGTTTTTTTGGTGTGTGTTTTTTTTAAGTTGCCTGAGAGCAGTTATTTGAAATGATATTCATAGATTAAACCAGCAGTACATGTATCTCTTCAGTTACATTTTTCTGTAAGAGGAGAAGACTTCATTTCAGTACATGTTAGTAATCCGTGGGCTGCAGTGTTATATTGCAGATACTTTTGTGACTTTTTTCTAGAAGTTGAAATGATCCTGAGGTGGTTTGCTTTTCAAGAGTGACTTTGCAATGTAAATTGTCCACTTTTCTTCCCACATTTGTCTGGGTTGATCTTAATTTTGTGTGTCTTAGAAATTCAGTCTTTGTTTTCCTTCTTGATAATGCAGTATGCACATTTTATGGTTTCTGTCTTGTAAGGCTTCAGAGTCCTCTAAACTATGACAGTATAACGTGAGATGTGTAATACATTAGTCTCTTTACATGTGAGCCTCCAAGTACTCAGTTATTACTGAAATTAATATTCTACGTAATCTGTATTCAAGGGTTGTTCATTTTGCAGCAGCTTTGCTACTGATTGATTGTTACAAATGAACTATGCAAGTCAACTACCATGCCAACAAATACAAGCTTCACCTTTAAATACAGAGATCTCTGCAGTCTATTGTTTCCAGTTTTAAAGATAGTGTGGTGAGGCAGAAATAAACTTTCTTCAGTCTGTATTAAAAAATGTCTGCAAAATTGTTTGCCTCTTACCCTTTTTATTTTTTTTGAGTTTATTTTTAGGCTAAACCTAAGAATCTGCTGTTATGGTTGATGAATCCCTTTGGGGGAACTTGTGCAAGAATGTGTTGTATATAGAAGGAGGTTTATTTGCAGACATCATCAGTTTTGAAATGAACTGAGTAATATCTTCCAGTTTCTTCCCAAAGGTACAAATAAATTATATTCTTTCAAATCTCTAATGGCTTGTGATCTGCCTGCATAAGAGATTGTAAGGGCTCAGAAAAGGGCAAGATACCTTCTATCTAGCTCCTTCTATAGAACTCATCTTGGCAGCATTAGGGAGCTTTAATTACAGAAGGATCATCAGTCATGTCCTTGATCTGCATTCCGCAGGGTACGTAATCCAGGGGAGAAAGTGCACAGCAGAATCTGTTAGAGAATAGGGAGAAGCAGTTTTACATTTACTAACCCACTAACATGACATAAAAGCGGCATTTCCCCAAAAGGCAAAATACTGCATTTAGTGCAGATTTCTGGTGTTTGGAGGATTTAGGGGGTGCGCAAAACATCCTGCCATTCTAGGCTTTTGTTGCTTATTAAATAGTCGTGCCTTTGTGTGTGTGTTTAATTTGCTATTTAAGCCTATATTTGAAGTTTCCGTCTGTACACAGATTTGTTGGGTTGATATGATTGTATTAATGAGTGCTCCTCCAGAAGCAATTTATACATATCTGTGAATCAAATAGAATATCATCTTTTAATGGTCTGATCTACAAAGCATTTTCAGCTATTCACTGGGATTTATTTCTGTATTTTGTTACTGATTTTAAGTTAGAAAAAAAATTAAGATCTCAGAATATTAGCATGCTATATTATTAAGTGATTCAATATCCATGGATGCCTAAAAATCTCACTGCTGTCAAGTATCAGATGTTCAGAATTTGAATGTCATCACATCATAACGCAAGTTGAAATACATCAGCTGCTTTGAGCTGTAATCGTTATGTTAGTTGTTCAACTCTATTTCGCTAAATGTTACTTTATTGTAATGGCTGCTTTAATCAGCTCTCATGAGATGTGCTAACGACATTCAGCTCCAGTTACATACTTTCATGCATGCACATTTGTGTTTCTAAAAGCTGATGTTATGTCACAGCAGTCTTCTCTGTCAAGGAAGACTGCCGATACGCAGCTACAGGAAATGTTTGCTAAATTACTGAACTTATTTCAGAGATGAGATCAATGTTTAAGATTTTTGCACTGGAAGTACCTGGAGCTTTTTGTCTTCTAGTCCTTATGCCTCTGGTGAAAGTACTCTTCTATATCAAAACCACATTTTCTGGAGTCATAGGACTAAAAAAACACAACATTGGTGTACCCTTTTCTTTTTCTTTTTAAGGAGGTCTGAAAGTCATTCGATGCTTCTCCCTAAGACTGTTACAGAACCAGAAACATATTTGAAAAAGGAAGCATCTGTTTTATAAAAGACATCCTACAGATTATTTTTGAGTTTGCCTAGAGTCCACTGTGGAGGCACAGTGCTATTACACAGAGATCTGTCACAATGAGAAGCAGGTTATGTTCAAACTCGTTAGGACCTGGAGACCAAGGAGGTATCGCTGTGCTTGCTAATCCTGATGTATTCTAGCCAGGAATCAGATTTTTCAGAGCAGCCACCAAGAACCTTCAGTGAATATCTAGAGAAAAACTGCATTCACCAGGACTGTACTTGCTAAGCGTATGCAAGGCTCCAAGATTGGCCATTGCTCCTTTTTATTCTTTTTTTTTTTTTTTTGGATAAAAGGGAGACCATTTTGAAGGTACAAATTTGATATGTATAGGCTACATATTTGCTCACTTTTTTTTTTTTTTTTCTTTTATAAGTTTCTGGTTATTTGTTCTGAATTGCAGAGTATTAGGGGGAGGGATTACACATTGAGATCAAGTAGTATGTTTCGTACAGACACTGCAACACCAGTTAGGCTCTTTTTTCTATATATAGAAAAAATCATGACCAGAGGAGAAATGAGACAAAAGTGACTATAGTTCCTAAGTGCTGTTTTGTCTTTATTATGGGATTGATTGCAAGATAATATATATATAGGGGGGAAAGGTTAAAAAGTAACTTGGGTATTAAAAAAAAAAATACAATGCATGATAATTTTGTGCTTCAGTGAGTATAACAGAGTCATAGAACCATAAAATGGTTTGGGTTGGGAGGGACCTTCAAAATCATCTAGTTCCACCCCCCCTGCCCCGGGCAGGGCCCCCTTCCCCCAGCCCAGGGGGCTCCCAGCCCCGTCCAACCTGGCCTTGAACCCTTCCAGGGAGGGGGCAGCCACAGCTGCTCTGGGCACCCTGGGCCAGCGCCTCACCCCCCCCACAGGGAAGGATTTCTTCCCTCCTTATAGCTAATCTAAATTGACCCTCTCTCAGTTGAAAACCATTACCCCTTGTCGTGTCACTACACCCTCTGACAAAGAGTCCCTCCCCATCTTTCCTGTAGCCCCCTTTGGGTACGGGCAGGCTGCTATAAGTTGTCCCCGGAGCCTTCCCCAGGCTGAACAGCCCCAGCTCTCAGCCTGCCCTCATAAGGGAGGTGCTCCAGCCCCTGGGCATCTCCGCTGCCGTCCTCTGGGTACACTTGAGCAGGTCCGTGACTGGAGGCCCCAGAGCTGGACACAGCACTGCAGGTGGGGTCTCACAAGAGCAGAGTAGAGGAGAATTACCCGCCTCGACCTGCTGGCCACGCTTCTTTTTGCAGCCCAGGACACAGTTGGCTTTCTGGCCTCTGAGCACACATTGCTGGCTCACAGGCAGTTTTCCATCCACCAACACCCCAAGTCCTTCTCCGCAAGGCCACTTTCAATCTACTCATCACCCACCCTGTATCTGTCCTGGGGTTGCCCTGACCCACATGCAGGACCTTGCACTTGGTATTGTTGAGCTTCATGAGGTTTGCACGGACCCACCTCTCCAGCCTGCCTGGGTCCCTCTGGATGCCATCCCTGCCCTCCAGTGTGTCGACTGCACCACACAGCTCGGTGTTGCTGAGGGTGCACTCAATCCCACTGTCCATGTTGCCAACAAAGATGTTAAACAGCGCCGGTCCCAATATCGACCCCTGAGGAATGCCTCTTGTCACTGCTCTCCACTTGGACATCGAGCAGTTGACTGCAATGCTTTGAGTGCGACCACCCAGCCAATTCCTAATCTACCGAGTGGTCCATCTGTCAAATCCATGTCTCTCCAATTTAGGGACAAGGATGTCATGTGGCACAGTGTCAAGTGCTTTGACAATAGTAATTGTTAAAGACTATAGAGCAGTGAAACACTGCTTTTAGCCAAATTGGGCAACTTTTAAAAATAATAGCATACTGAAAGCTTATTAATAAGGAATAGAGTGAGATGACAAAAGCCCCAGAGCCTTGAAATCTAAAAACAGTGACCATCCTACCAGGCTGGAAGGAAAAAAAAAAAAAAAAAAAAAAAAGCTGTTTGTGCAGGCTGATGGGGGAATCTGTCTATATAGATTATCAACCTGCATTATGAGCCTGCGTGCCCAAAAATTGACATCTCCTGTTGTTTATGCTGTGTATCAGATACATACATCAGAAGACACAGCTGTTCATTCAGTGGAAGACTTCTATAAAGGACATACCTTTATAGAAGGTAATAGTTACTGCACACGAATATTTGTCTTTGCACAAATACCAACTTCAATTTTGAAAATTGAGAAGGAATAATGTGAAGGCACAGCTGCCATGTGTCCCTGAAAAAGATAAATCTTGGGTTTATGAGGATGCTGAGTGTCATTCTCCAGAGCCCAGTCCCACTTCAGTGTTTCCCTTCAAGAAAACATGTGTTGCAAAGAGCTGCCACAGATCTTCCCTGGAGGGTCCTGGCCTGTCTGCCGTTTACTCTGCTGCAGCCTAGCATTGCAGCCACCTACACGAAGTACATATAAAAATTCTGTCTTACAAAACATTCCTTGCAAAATTAGAGGTAAGACTGGATAGAAAGCTACATAAACTGGTTGCCTGCTCTTCCACTTGCGTGCAACAGGTACAGCAGCTTCTAGGACTTACTATATCCTTGGTGGTTTTTATATTCAGGTCATCCTTGTTCTAACTTGCTCTGTTTGGTGGTTTCTAACCGAGGGGCATTTAGCATCTGTTCATGAAGATTATCTCATTAAACCATGATCCGACTCCAGTTTCCATTGCTGGCAGGGCATGGAAAGAAAGCACTTTCTGATATTTCATGGCTATTTATGTAAGTACTAAAAGCAGCACTGCATTTTCTGTTTAGTTCCCTCAAGGGCTGGGTAAGATTGTAGGGATCAGCATGCAGGGAGATTACAAAAATCCAGTTAATCATTAAATTTAATAAGAGTTATGTATTTTAAATCTTTGTCAGTAAGGACCACGTATAGTATAGTGCAAAAGCCGCAGTAATTCCTATGGAAACAAGGAGTACTGAAATTGAATATCTAAGAGAACAAACCTTTCAAGTGTCCTGTGAGAGCTTATGGACCCTCAAAAAGCAACATCTCTCCCCAAGCATTGTCTTGGAGATGCTGATTCAATGCAGCTGACTTACCTCTTCTGGTGAAATGAAAAGTTATGAAGCGTTTTTTCCCATTCTGTAAGCAAGGTCTACATGGATTTTGAGATTGGAGATGTTTTTCATTGAAAATTAGTTTGATGTTTTGTGATTAATAATTTACTGGAGTATTTACAGATGATTAAGTTCAGTGAATTAAAGTTCTAAGTCTCCTTGTATGAATGTTGGTTTCCCATTGTTGCTGTTATTTTTTTTAATTATAGTAAGGAAGATGTGGAGATTAGAAGTCAGCTGTCACATTAGCATTCCACTTATTTGGCAGATTGGTCTGTTGTGGATGTCTAGATAATTATATGTAAATCACTGACTCTCACTAATGGCCAACTTGAATGTTTTTTTCCACAAATCTTTCAGTTCTTGAATGTTTCTCCTAAAGCATGAGGAGGAATTAAAAAACATTTTGACATATTCGTGCATATGTAAGCTGAATGTAGACAGGCAAATGTTTAAACTGCAATATCTAAATATGGATGTTTTCAAACTGCTACTTTTGCACTGAAAACCAGGCTATGTATTTAAAAACAAAAACTTCTGAAAAGCAAGTGCCTGAAGATAATTGTCTCAATATGATTTAAAATTCTACTTGTCTGCTGAATATTTTTTCAGTGTTAAC